ACTTGTTTTGAAGTCCTGTAATATTCCCATAATCTTGCTTTGACTGATTAGACTCTTTTCCATTCTGTATGATAGTATCAAGTTTGAGGGTATAAGCAACTACTTTGAAGGCAATAAGATTCACTAAGATGCCCATTCTGGTTTGACTATTGTCTCCTTTGGAAGTCCTGTAATGTTTACAATGCCTAAGTTTTATTGGTCTTGTTCTCTACTGTTTTGTCCAACTTTATAATATCTAATTAGATAGACAATTGTTTTTAAGGAAACAAGAGACATCGTTGATAACCATTGTTTATAACCTTGTACTCTGTTTTACAGCATGAGCTATGTCTAGCCTTGGTTTTGACTGACAGCTTTGTTTTGCCAAATTTGACTTTATTCTCTCCCCCCCCCCAAAAAAAGTAATAAGAACTAAGGAGTAATAAAAAACAAAATGTGTAAATTTTGTTGTAAAAAAGAGAGGGGAAAAAAGCTCTAATGGATATAACAGCAAGTGTGTTTAGGAGTGTTAAATAGCTGACTATATTAATGTTTTTGCATCATTGAACACAGCTGTTTGCAGTCTCTCTGTTTGAATGTCCACTTTGTAATCTTTGATACTGTGATTTGAGCAACTATTTCTAAGATGATAATATGTAATCTATTAACAGGTGATTTCTTAATTTTTTTTGTATTTCTGTATTATGTGTACCCTTACACTGCTTTGTTTTGTATTTTTCTTTTTCCTTTTAAATAAAATTAAAAAATTAAAAATTAAAAAAAAGAATGAGATGATGATACTTCCTCATAGTTGTCACTAGTTAGTAAAGCAACAGATATAATACAGGATAAATATGAGAACTTACAAGATTGGCTTCCAATGGCTGCCCAGAGCTAGGGAGTACAATAAGGCTGTCTGTACACTGGGGATTTGAAAGTTCCAGGAAAATGCCCAGGGACTGATGTATTGTACTGTGGAGTCCATGCTAGGAGGCTGAAGGGCCAATGCTGGAGAGGGAGAATGGCACTGAAAGCGAGGAGATGAATCCAATGTGAAAATTGCAGCTCCCCTGGCACAGGAGACCAATAATTAGTTTTGTTTCCCTCTTACATCCTGCTGATGATCCTCTCTAGGGTGATTTCTGAAGCTTCCACACCAAAGCCTTCCACACCCAGAATTATTCTGTTCCAATTTAGTTGAGCATTAGTGACTCAAATGGACAACCAGCACAATCCAACCCTTGCAACTTGACAGCCAGAAATGTTTCTTTAAACCATAAACTTCAGGTGCAAAGACCATTTTGTGATTATACCTAATCTTATAACTTTCCTACACACAAGCAAAAATGCACACAGTCTTTCCCCAGGACAGAAGGCAAGTGTTGGGGCTGGGGATTTAGCTCAGCGGCATAAGCACCTGCCTTGTAAGCAGGTAGTCATGAGTTCGATCCCTGGTACTGATGAAAAGGAAAAAGACAAAAAAAAAAAAAAAAAAAGAAGGCAAGTGTTATTGGGCTGAGGCATGCTTTAACTTACCCTCTCTGTACCCATGGCCTTTGTGTAGGTGCTGCAGGAGCTGCCAGGAGACTGCTCTCATTCTCTGCACAGGTGAGGGGTGAGGAGCCCCTTTTTGCAGGAGGTGCCTGTATGCTGGGCCTCTCCATGCTCTTGGAACCCTGGCTCCTCTACAAGGCCCTGAATAGGGAGGACAGGATTGGTGATGGGTGCTAAGATCATGACATGTTAGGGATTAATCCTTGCTAAAATGGACAGGACCGAGATGGGCCTGAACATGTGGCAGCCTACTGCAGCCAAGGACACTCAATAGGGATTCCTGAGACTTCAGGGATCCCCATCATATCTGCACATTTGGAGTAGTGTGCTACAAAGTCATCACCAGCACACATTATTTCCTTAGGATCCCTGACTTTATCTGTTGCCCATGGGCTGAGGCTTGTAGTGTCTATAATAGAAGAGGGATTGTTAAGTAACAGAATCTCAACCTCTGCATTCTTGAGCTTCAGTACGCACCTAGACTTAGACAGTACTGAAGTGATCCCTCTGGTAAAGTGAAGCTGAATGTGGTCACAGGTGTCACAGAAACAGTCATGACACCGGGGATCCTTTGTTTCTGAAGAAAGTATTCTCCTTGGCTGTCATCTTGCTTATGGGGGCACACTGGCCATGGTGGCACACTGTCCATAGAGGAAAGAGACTGCCTGAGGAAGAGAACTTAGTGCTGGTCACACCCAGTGTTCTGCTGGGCCCACTGTGATTCAGTGATGTGGTTTGTCCCATCTTTGCCTGGGTGAAGGTTGAGTCCTCTATGCAGTCTCACAGGCAGGCTCAGGTTAAAATCGGGCATTTGTGTGCAGCCCCCTTGATTTTGAGCTGTCATTCCATGCATCTCCAGTCTGTAGGCACAGTGACAACACTGTAAAATATGGCTCAGCTTCCTGTTCAGATTAAAACAATACATTTGCTCAGCATCTGCTAGTGCCAGGCACCGTTCTAGGCAGGACAGCCACAGTGAAAAAAATGCACAAAAGTCTACAAGCCCCTTTCTCTGGGGAGCTGTTTTGTAGCAACTCTATTGCTACAATAATTACTGTGTATCCAGCTGTGTATCCATTCTCTTAAGACAAGTAAGTTAAGTCTCGGTATTATCTTTAATTTTTAGTTAAAGAAAAAAAAAACAGTAAAAGGGTACAAGTAATAAAGAATTAAAAAAATAAACAGTAAGATATCACTAGTTAATAGATTACATATTGTCATGTTAGAAATAATTGTTCAAGTTACAAAATTAAAGCATACAAAGTAGACATTCAAAAAGTGAGACTGCAAACAGTTGTGTTCAATGATCCAACAAAAACTTAGTAATATGGTAATCTGTCTTACACACCTAAACACACTTGCAGTTGTATCCTTTAGAGCACTTTTTTTTCCCTCTCTTTTTACAAAAACATTTACTCATTTTGGGTTTTATTACTCCCACAGTTCTTATTACTTTTTTTGGGAAGAGAATACAACCAAATGTGACAAAACAAAGCAGTCAGTTAAACCGAAGAATGGGCATAGTACATGATATAAAAACAGAATACAAGGTAATCAACAATGGTTACCATTATGCCTCTTGCTACGTTAAAAAGAATTGCCTATATCATCAGGTATAATAAAATTGAACAAAAGTACACATCAAAACCAATAAAACCTAAAGATTGGAGACATTACAATACTTCAAAAGAAGATAATAGTCAAACAAGAATGGGCATCACAGTGAATCTTATTGAGTTCAAAGTAGTTGCCTATACCCTCAATCATCTTGATACTATCAAACAGAACAGAATAGAGTAAAATCAGTCAAAACAAGATGGTGAGAGCAATACAGGGCCTCAAATTAAGTTAACAGGAAATCAAAATTGTTACTATAATATATCCTGTTAATGTTTAAAAATTTTTCGCTTAGTTAAAAAATAATTAAAAAATACATTTTTTTTAAAAAGGGAGAGATTGAGATAAAAGAGGACATGACAATACAGGTCAGAACAGAATAATTTAAGCAACATAGTTTTCACCACAAGATAACCTGATTTAACAGTAGTTACCATAGTGTGTGAGTCTAGGTATTACTAAGAATAAAAGAAATCAAGTGATCTCTCTATGGCTTTTGGTCCCATGTCTTTCTGAAAAGGAACAGGATTAACTTCTAGAAAGATGCATATGCAGAAGGCTGATCAACTCTGTCATGCCCACTCTTTAGTCTAGAAATAGGATGTCCAAAGAGGCACTGTGATCAAAGCACACACAATCCCGAGGGTTATAAATAGAGGAAACTTGGACTTGAGTGAATTCCTGTGGACTGCACTAGGAGAAGCCCTGGCAGTTAAGAGTTTGAAGTTTAGCATGGACAGACGCAACGCATGTGCTGCGATAGAGCAGGAGCACGGACTTTGGAACTAGCTAATCTCAAGTCGAGAGCCAGACTTTACACTTTCTCGTTGGGTGATCTTGGTGCACGTGTTTTAACCTCCAGGTTTTTATTTTCTGTGATGTGAGGATATGGATAAAAGTAATTGCCCATCGCCTGAAGCAAACCAAAGCACTTAATGACATCATAAAGCCTGCTTATCGAAAGAACTGACCTTTCCTTCCCTCCTTTTATGTTTAAATAGCAGCCACTTTTATACACTGATTATATTCCATGAACTGTTTTATGAACATGCACATATGCACATTGATTCTCTTGCTCTAATATCCTCTTTTCAGATGGAGAAACTGAGGCAAGGAAAGACCAGTGAGCTGGTCCAGAGTTTAAAGACAGTCTCAGGGCTGGGATGTGAATCCAGAGCAGTGTGGATTAAAGGAGAATCTGTTCGTGAGGACTTCAGTCAAACTGCAGATGAAAACCCCCACACCCAGTTCTCCAGACAGCATCCCAAGTTACCAGAACTGAACAGCAGCCGGGTGGCCAGTGGCTGGGGGTTGGAGGGCAGGGAGAAGGCTGAAGACTAAGGAAAGGGGCAGCTTTGTTGTCAGGGTCCAGTTAGGGTTTAAGGAGCCACAGCTACAGTTGTGGTGTATTTAGCTGAGTTGGAGAAATTCCACCCACAGGCTCCCCATGCCTTCTCTCACCTGCCGCGAATTTGAGACATTCTGCAAGACCTCTGGGGTTAAATACAGAAGGACAAATATATTCTGTTCTGCTAAGGGCTGTTTTTCCACAGGGATCCTTGGACAGTGAAAGCTGGCCCCATAAATAATCACCCTGGGGCAACTGGCATAAACCCGGAGCTGTGGCCACATCACTTACTAAGCACAGCTGGCGTCAAACGTGGCTCCCTGGGCCCAGGTGATAGGTGTTGCAGTGAGGGGCGGTGAGGCAAGATGGCCAGCCAATGAACAGTGAGGACAACACCCAGGGGCAGGATAAAGGCCCCTGTTGGGGTGCTCTGTTCTTTGCTCTTTGTCTGCATGGGAGAATATGCTCCTGCTCTCAAACTGGGTGTTCCTTAGAGGTTTTGTTCACTGTTTTGTTCACTTTGGGGCTGTTCTAGCATTTCAGTAGTTTCAGAGGGAATCTAGACAACCAAGGAGAAGGGGTCTTCTTCCCCTGTGGCAGCAGGACTATGTTTCTGGTTGTCTTCTTGACGATAGCCATTCTTTCAATGTTTAAATAGGGGAAAAAACAGCGTAGACACTGGGAAGTTGGAGGTTCTTCAGATGGAAAAAGGAAGCAGAGATGGGAAAGGAGGGGTTAGGAAAGGATTTGAAGAAAGAAATTGAAGGAAAAATTAGAAACAGCTTTAAGTATGGAGGGAAAGAAGGATTAAAAAAGGTGCAAAAAAAATTGAGATACTATCTACATGAGCAGGTTCCCTGGGGTGCATGTGACTGCCACTATGAACCTCAAACCTGCAATATTTTATTTATTTATTTATTTATTTATTTATTTATTTATTTATTTATTTATTTTTGGTGCCGGGAATCCAACTGACAACCTTGCATCTGCTGAGCAGGCACTGACACTGCTGAGTTGAAAGTCCTTATATATTTTTTTAGAACCTTTTCTCTACCAAACCTGGGCAGAGGTTTTGAATGTCAAGATCAGGAGGCTCAGTCATGAGGGAGGAAGGCTCTGCAAGCTAAGGCCTAAAGGGGAGGTGGCACAGGGAACTGAGGTGTGTTTCCCTGCATGCACACCTGCAAAGGTGTTTCCTCTTCCTGGGCATCTGAAGAAGGATGAGCAACTGCTCTCAGTACCATCCTTCAAGCCCTAGTGTGGAAGGGGAAAATCAGTGCCCTGCTCACTTGTGGATTCTGGGCAGTAGGTGGGACAGGGTAGCAGGGACTTGGCTCGCATTTCAGCCTGGGCGGCCCTGAGGAGGCCCCAAGGTGAGTTAAGTTGCTGGTTTCCTATGGGCCATGGGCTTTTCTGTGGCGCCACCCCACCCTACTGTAGTGCGGAAACCAGTCCCCAACTTCTCCCAAGTTAACCAACCACACCTTGTGCTGACCCAGAGCAGCTGTGACGACTTGGGTGCTGCTGATCTTTGCTGAGTGCTGGCTCAGAAGCCAGGCCGCCTCGTCCTGGCAGTTGGATTCTACCTCTATGCAAAGATGGGGGTGTAGCAGGTTGTACAACACAGTGCTCTCACCGAGTGATGACATCCTGGCAGTGAGAGGACATGGGTTAGAGGTCACATAAAGGGGTAACTTGGGTAACTTTGTCGAAGGGACTGGGTCCACTGCTGGTTTTACCCCTCCCCCCAATGGCTGTTTCCCCCAATGGCAGCATCAGCTGTGTGGGGGGGGGGGCTGGGTCTAGGTCCTCACTACCCTGCAGGTATCTTTCCCAGCTGGGCTATATTTTCCCAACCCCTTGGGTGAGGGGTGCTCGGGGTACTGAGACCTGAACAAAACTGCTCCCGAGAGCCTTTGAAAATCCAGGACACATCTTGCCAAAGTGAGCCCCTCCCTATTTTACACTATCACAGCCGTATACTCACCATGCTTCTTAACAAGTACACGTTGAATCCTTCAATGCAGCCCGGCTTCCTCAGATAGATCTAGGCCGCAAGCCTAGTCAGGTTTTCTGCCTGATTAGTGTCAAATGTTGGCTTTTATGTTCAAAAGTTTCAGCTGCTGTTGGGAGGAGTCTTAACTAGAATGAATTTCATGGGTGGAGTGAGGGCTCCATTTCAAAACCAACTCATGGTTCCTCTTTCCTGTGCAGGGTCCAGTAGTCCTCTTCCCAGCTTTTCCTCTGAAGGATGGCAGGGCAAGAGCGAAGGTCTGAAGGGGAGGGAATGGGAAGAGGTGATCAGGTGTAATGTGTGAAGACAGGAGTCATTCTGTAACGCATGTACCTGAAAATTTAGATGGGCAGGGGAGGAAACCTGTCCATGGGGTGAATCCTACCCTGTACCTGGCTCCCCCCCTGATTCTGTCCTGTCCTGAACTGAGTGAGCTCTCATTCCTCACAGCTAACCTCACAGGAGAGGCATCCCAAAAGAATGTTCCAACATCCTACTTGATGCTTAACACAAACTGGAGATCATAACAGTTAAGCAACTCGCCAAGGATCACTTCCACCTGGCTGAAGTTACTGGGCTGAATGTTTGAATCCTGTGTGTGCAAGAAGGTAGCCTCTGTGTTCTGGGTGGGTGTGGGGCATTGTGAGGTGTGGGTTTCTGAGGTGCTCATGGACAGGGGGCAGGGCACCTCCATCTAGAGTTACAGGGGAGCAAAGTGATTTTAACAAGTGGCTCTGGGTTTTAACTGACAAATTAGAAAGCAAGTTTCTATAATCCAGTTGAACATGGAGGGAAACCGGTTATTCTAGATTCTCAATTTCCTCAGAACTGAGGAGTTTTCAGGGCATGGCTGCCCCACACTTGCAGCAGGTGACTGCATCCCAGTTGGCTGAGGATGTTCTTGTCCAAAGTATTCACTCTAGGTTCTGCCAGTTGTTCTTGTAGGACTCAGTATACTCAGTAGAGCTCAAATACATGTGTGTCACTATCAGTGCAGAAAGTTTCCATACTCTTACATGAGAAAACACCCTGGAAGATGTCTTTTCCACTCTACATCTTAAATTTCTAGGAAGTTGGTCCAATTAACTTGAGATTGTGAGTATTAGAAGCTAAAACCTTATTTACCAAGACAGTGGAAACAGCTAATGCCATGCACGTCTAATGAAGTGAAAATTACACAATATTAAGTCAAACTTGAAACTTTAGGATGCAATTAGAATTTTCCATAAATTTTGCTCAACTACGCAAAGTAGTTCATATAAAAATCTCGTACCAGAATGGCAAACACCAATGTGATTTGGAATTTTTTGAGGGAGATTTATGTAACATTAAGTGGGGGAGGCGACTAAAGCCTGATTGGTGTAACTTGGCGATGGTACAGTGTACAGATTTTCCTGGGCCTTCTCCTCCCAGAGCAGAGCACCATGCCCAAGTGTGTCTCTGGAGCTCAGTCTTCAGCAGCAGCTCCTCCAGCTTCCTCATCCATGCTCAGTCTTCCTCTCGGCTGAGCCCTTGGCATGGAAATGGTGGGCTTGCTTCCAGCCTGTCTCCTCCACACAGCTGATCTTAATATTGGGCTTGTAGTTGTCCTTCTTAAATTTCTGGGTGAAGCCATGGTACTCTCCTCTCCTACTGTGTGATCTGTATACCAGGACTTATCACCTTTACATGGAGACCCAGCACTGAAGCAGATGCCTGTATGGTGGCATCATCTGGGAGGTGGGTCTATCTAGACATCCCTCACTACTTCAGTTGACATGGACCATTGTTGGTATGTGGCTGGTTAGCCGCAGTGCTGTGCTTCAATCTGCTGCACAATCTGGGCTTTCAGTTTGGGTCCCTATGGTGGTTTAGAAGAGATGGGATATCTGTCCCGGGGCCTGAGTTGAGACCTGAGATGGGGGTGTCCCTGTGTATCTATGCTACAGATAGCTCTGCTTGTAGTCAGATGAATAAAATCAGTGACTCCTAGGTGACTCTGCAAAGAGCCAGTCCTTGGTCTTTCTCTAGGACTCCCTGGGCTTCTGGCTAGGTTATGTTGGCCACCTGTATTCCTCTTCAGAATCATGGCTCGATAGATTCCTTGATTGCCATACTATTTTTGGGATGTGCATAGAACAGGCAGAGTCACCCAAGATACTTCCCTCAACCTCCAGGATCCAATTTAGCTTCTTAGGTAAGCCATAGCTAGCTAAGTGATACCTTTGAAAGTTTCATAGTTTCTGGACACAGCTCCTCTTGCCTCAAGTTCCAGTACTGGAGCACGATCAGCTCTCTGCCCCTGCATCTGATACTACTTTGGGGCTGGGCATTGGCTTTTCCATGGACTGCACCAGTGCTTTGCACCTGGCCTTCATGTGTAGAGCTCCTGCCGTGTTTCCTGGGGAAATGTTCAGGCCACCAAGTGTTAACTGACATTATGGGAAGGACTCAAAGGATGTCTTGGGAATTAGACTGAGGATAACTTAGGAGACAGAATCCATGTGTCCTTTATGCCTGTAACTCCGACAGGGTTAGGAAGCTAAGCGTAGCATGTACTGTGGCATCCTTAATTCTGAAACTGCCAAAGACCTGGCAGACGAGGCTTACGCTTTAATAATCTGCAACAGCGAAACATTTTAGAGCTTTCAATGAATACAGGCTGCTGTAGCACGTGTGCTGTTGTAGGGTCACAAACACTGACCTAAAACATGGTACAGATTTCAGTGCACAGTGGGCTGGAGCTCCTCAACCAGCTGGCCAGACCCTGACTTTGTCACACAACTACTCAGTCATTTAAGGAGCTCGCACTGACCTTGAGTCCCCCCCCCAACTCCCTATACAGAAAATGGAGTCAAATGCCTTTCTTGCATTTTAACAGAAGATTCTAGAGTTTTTTATTCAAGTGTGGTGGTAAAGTCTGTGTCCCTTTTTCATATGGCATCTCACAGCCAGAAATCAGAAAGTGACTCTTGAACTTGACACCAACTAGAGAAGGAGTAGAAATGCTTGATGCAGGAAAACAAAGCTGAGAGAAGCAGAGAGTTGTGCTACTGTCTAAGGTCCTGGTATCTGGAATAGCAGCACCTAGGCACTTGAGCTACATGTGTTTTCACAGTGTTTTGAACTGAGCCCCACCTCCTTGGGACCTGAGCTGGCACCTGAGCCTTGCCTATCTGGACTTTACAGTTTTCTTTGGCATCACATTTGATGTTTAAAGTTTTACCAGTGCTCTGCCAGTGCTGTTTCTGTATAGTGTGCTTTTCGCCTATCAAGACTACAGCACCTGCTTTGAGGAAAAGTACAGGGAGCTGTGTGGAGCCAGGGCCTGCCTGTTGTAACAGCTGCAGTGCAGTGTGCAACTTGGCATGGTCAAACACATGTTCCACTGTAGCTGATCTGTCCACATCTCGACGCACTTGATGGTGATGGTTCAGTACTATGAGTTCTGTACTTAGCATTTGTGCTCAACACTTACATTTTAGAAGTCAAAAGAACATGGCCGGGGCCACCTCGTCAGGCAGAGCATCTAAAACCCATGAACCCTCCAGCACGCAGTGGCTGTCATTCTCGGTATCTGCCAAGTGGTGGCTGCAACATTCCTGTGACGGTGATGCTAAGCATGCTAGCCGCCAGCTGAGGTGCGGTCTTCCACAGATGGGCTAAGTAGCTTTGGCAGCCGCCTTTAGGATTGGAATATAGTTTCTGCAAAATAGATCAGAGTGTTAACATGGGGGAAAGAGCTCTATTAAAATCCAGGCACTGTTTTTCAATCTTGACGCGATGCAGGAGGCTCCCCTCCTGGAGCAGATGGGTCCACCCTGACCCAGCTTCCATGGGACAGATGTAGATGTATATTCTGCCCACATGGCACCTCTTGTTTTCCAAAACGTCCCAAGGCAGTTGATTGAGACTGCTAGAGATTTGGAACACCTACAGCAAAGGTGCCAAAATCTTTGGCTCTGGTTCTCTGTACCATATGAGCCAGTAGGAGTCCAGGCTCTGGTTTGGACATTCAGGTCCCATCCCTCATTAATAGGACTGTATTTTCAGCAATCCAGCTTCCTTTATGGTAAAGAGCGGGGCTGATGAAGGCAGTCTCATCTCTTAGGGGCATAAGCCTAGAAGCTGCCCTTCTGCCTCTTGTAAGGAGAGTGCTGCTCCATCCACTGCCTGACTTGCTGTCTTGTTAGACTGACACAGGCCCAATGGACATGAATGTTGTGCCTCCATTCCAAAATACTGGTGCAGTGAAGGTCATTACTATCTCCTGGGCATTGCTGTCCCTGCCCTGGGATCTGCTCTGTGGGTCAGAGGCCTGGAGAAATCTATTCCATTCTGGTGTTTTCCTCTTCTGCTTGGCCATTCATCCATTCTGTTTCTTGTTCCTTTTATAGATAGATTTTTGTCTTACCTCATGCCAAATGCAAATGAAAGTAGAAGAGTCTCGTGTTATGAGGTACTTGTTGAGTTTGACCTTTACCCAGTGTCCATGAGAAATGTCCTGAGTCAGAGTTTTGGAGACATAGACATTCACTTTCCCTTATTCCAGGTGCTCTTGTTTTTCCTTTGATCACACCTGGTGGACATTTGTACACTTTTCCTGATCACTGATTCCTATGGATCTCGATGTAGTCTGCTGTGTATTGCAAACTCTGAGAAGCAGATAGGCTATGTAGGGAACCTCTTAAGTCTTCCTCCCCTGGGCTTGTTGTAAGTGGTCTGTGTGCACTTTGGTTTAAAGTTACATGAAACATTAGGGTCTCCTTAAAGCTCTTGCTGTTGATGTAAATTTCCTTTGAGAAGTCACCACTTCTGTTTAGGTTTCATTTCTGGGAGAGATGTGTTTCTGATGTCAGATTTGTCCAGTTCTCACTACCTCCCTGCCCTCGATAGATGAGCTCATGCTTGTTTTGCTTTGGATCTTTGAATTTTCTAGAATATGATTCATGCAGCTATTTAAAAAATCCCAGCATCAGGTAACCCAGTTTTGGAGGTCCAAGTTGAAGGTCCTAAATATGAACAGTGTTCTTACTCATCTTGCATACTGCTAGGATTCTGTTAAACAGCCTGGCAAAGAGATCTCCACGGTTCTTATCTGTCCCTCTTGGAGAAGCTGCTTATGCCACATTCATGTTTTAGGTTCTCCTTCAGTTCCTCCAGTTTCATGGAGAATCCGTGAACTCTCTGAAGCGAGAGTGCTTGTGAGCTTTTTGACTTCTCACTTTCATCTTGGCTCCAACCTGGAGCATCAATGATGAGCTGTTCCAGGGTAATCATAATTGTACCCTGTCAGACAGGCTCAAGAGGTGACCTGACCAGGCAGCATGAACATGGAGGCCGGAGGGCAGGGCTCTCATTGGCTGCTGCTATGAGTGCTATTTCTGGTAGAGTCCTTCATGATTTTACAATCTTCACAAATTTGTAGACACGGTGTTGTTTCCTGGCTATGCATGGATGGACCCTATTGGAATGGGAACCATCCTGGTCACAGCCCCATGCTCCTGATAGAGATAGGGAGGGTACTGGGCCATTGGTGTTAGCCAGACCTGACTGGGGATTAAAAGGTGACTGCCATCTTTTTACTGTCCTTTATTTGCCCAACACAAGTGTAAAATTTTGAGCAAGATCAAAATGAAGCCCAGATGCGATGAATTCTAACCATAGTAGTGCCTCCCGTGTAAGAGAAACTTGCAGCACACAGGAAATCATTGGAGGCACAGGCCCCACAGTAACGATGCCTGAGTTGTGCTCACCAGTTGAGAAATGATGCAGAAAGTGCTGTCATAGCTTTCCTAAGATTGTGCCCCCAAGTACCTCTGAAATTCCCCATCCTGTCCTTTCAGTAAACATTTCACAGGGAGGAATGCATTCTTCATTTGTTATCCTGATACAAACATAATTGCTGGGGGAGGGATATGTTTGATCCATGTAAATAGAATCCTTTAGTGGCACTGAGTGTCTAGGCTTGGTGCTCAGCTGTATTTGACACCATGTCTACACGATGTCTCCCTGGTGCAGGTGCAGAGAGCCATGGAGGCATGAGGATCTTCAGGCTCACTGTGCCCTGTTTCATAGCTGTCATGTGATTCCCCTCCCTGAGCACCTTGATTAAGTGGTTCCATCAGCCAGCCAGATGTCCCATGTCATCTAATTCTATGGTCATTGAGTTGAGCCCAGGACCCCCCCACCCTATGTGTTATTCCTGGATTTCTGGTCCTTCACTCCATGATTCTTGGAACCTTCATTCTCACAAGTTGAAGTTGATATAAAAAAATTCCTTAAGCCATCCTGTTGTCAACTTTGGTGTCTTTGTTTTTTTCCTTGCAGAGCTCTTGAGACCCCTGACCTCACTGGGCTGAGTTATTTGCTGAGAGCTAATCATCAGGTCCTGTGCCCCTTCACCACTGGCAGCAACGTCTAAATTTACTTTTGATCTGTGACTCTGAGGCTGCAGAACACAAACTTGGATGGGGATGTGTTCTTTTTCCTGGATGCGCCCTTACTCTGAGGATGGTCATGTGTGTTAGCAGGGCATATTTGCTGGCATCTGAAACTCCCTGTATGAGGCTCACAGGAGGAGTGGAGACAGATAGTGCCTCTGTTTGCAATGATGACTCTGATTGCGTGAATGGCGACAGCTTCCACTGACTCTCTTCACGATGTTGATTATTTCAAGAGCCCCAGACAATGTCCACCATAACTTTTCCAATGGGGAAAAACTTTTGTAATAAAGATGTTCTTTTTCTGGAAAGAATTCAATACAAATTTAGTAAAATCACGATATATTTGCTACATTGGGTTCTTCTATAGTAATTCTGATGATCCATCAAGAATAGCTTGAAAGCAAAAAACTTTGTGTAATGTTAGGGTTTTTTTTTTTTTTAGTATGAATTTTCTTATCTAATAAGACAAAACCTCACAGGCTGCCCCACATTCCTCCCACTCCTAGTTTTGGTCAAAACTTTTGATATGCCCATGACAGAGCCCACACAAAGCTGTAAGGTATTCCTGTCTGAGAGCGTTTGATTCTCAGTTGGATGGCATGCAATGAGTTGCTGTCTACCTTCTTCTGAATGTGTGCCACACTGGATCTGGAGGGACCCTTTCTAGCTGGACACTGTTTTTTTTCATCTAAAATTCAGTGATGATCTCCAGGCATCTGTTTTATGATTCAGTTTATTGTATACTTTCTGTCCATTCATTTTTCTTTGATATTCTGGTTACATTTATTGCATGGGTCTGGGGGTAACTCACAAATTGAACTGTCAGAACTGAGTTACAAATCAGTAAGTTATAGTAGTATTTGTTACTCTGCCTAGGTAAGAAATACTAAACCTGAGGAATATATCTATTTTTCTGAACTTTATTTTCTATTGTAGTACCAGGTGTCTTGCGAATAGAAAAGGATTTCACAGCTGGCCTGCTGCGACAGTGAAGTTAGGACCTGGTGAAGACACTAGCATAGATTGTCTTACGGAAGCCAGGGTGAGATGAAAAGGAACAGAAATCTGTTTATTTTCCTGTCTTGGGTGTGGAATCTTGGTGGTTCAGAATCCTGACCTACTTTGGTCTCATAATGTGGCACAAACCTTAGTAAATAACTATGCAGTTGTTTTGGGGCTTATTGTCTCAAACATTTAAAGGACTGATTGGACAGAACTCCAGGCTAAAATAATTGGGATGAATCCCAAGTTGTGAACACTGAGCAGTTCATTTCCACATTTCTGTCCTTGTCATTGTTCTCTGTAGCTGAAATACGGAAATCAAAAGGTCTTTGCTTCTCAACCTCCTGTTCCATAGTTTTAGCTTGGAGATGAGCTGTTGTGGTGAGAATGAATCAGACCGACTGGCCCTGAATCTCTGACTTCCTGGAGTCTTTTTTCAGTTGGGAGTGGAGTTGAGGAGGGATGAAGGTACCAGTTTTTTCCAATCCAAAATTCAGAAGGTGCCTTAATGCTCAGGATGAGGGTTCCCTGCCGAAGGATCAATCTACCCTTCTCTTCCCAAACTCTGCCCATGTTTCCCCACCCTCTGCTTTTCTGGCTCCACTGGGCTGCCACACACAAGGTCTTAGACTTTGTTCTGATTCTAATCAGAAGAATACCAGCGGCCAGTGGAGTACTAGTGCAGTGGAAATGTGTGTGTCTGCATTGCCTGATTCCGTGCTTGCCATTAGAGGCCTGGTGCCTGAAGAGTACCTTTGGGGAGAGTGCTGAGACTATGCTGAGGCGCAGAACTGTGATGTGAACTTTGCTTTAATCCTAGATGAATTTAAAGAAAGCTGGAGTTACCAAGTACTTTGGAGAGCCTATGGAAATGTTGAATTCCCTGAACATGAATGACTAAGTATAATGAGGGCCTTGGTTACTTTTTACTGAGACACAATACCCAATGCCCACAAGGAAAGCTTTATTTGTTCAGTGTGTAGATGTTTCAGTACACAAGTGACAGGCTCCAAGGCAGAGGCATGGCAGAAGAGCATTGTAGAGAACAATTGATGGCAGGAAAAAGACAGTGAAAGGGACCTTAACAGCTTTTTTAATGCCCCTTTTATATTCTATCTAGGTTACCTAGATTACCAGGGTAGACAATCTAGTCAGTGAACTGGTTAGTAATCACCCCAACTTGATCCTCACAGCCTCACCCTAGCACTGCACTATGAGTCAGTCACACTGTAGATCCAGCCATCTGTGAAAAAACATGACTCATGACCATGTGAGTCTTTGGGGGGGGAGTTTAAACACAAGCCATAAAAGGGATCCCTACAAGAAATTTCCAGTGGGAAGTAGATGTCCTGTCTTAAGCCATTGAAGCACTTTTAGTCAAGGAAGATGGACTCATCAGAAGCCTCAATTCCTGGAACACCTTTCTAGTGTAGTGTGACTAAATAACCTGTGTAATATAGAATAAAATTGGTATGTGAACTCCATTTGGGAGAAGTTGAGTTCTGTGAGCCTCTTTGCTCCTTCACACTTTTTTTATAGTACACCATACAGAGGAATGGATATGGAATCCTCATTTCGTCCCATTGGGTCAGGGATGTGACAAATACACAGCTCAGAGGAGCCCGAGTAAATCTGGGCTCTATGATAGAAGTATTGCCTTGCTGCCGGGCAGGGATGAAGTCTAACAGAAAACAACATGTACTGAATTTTCTGTTGTCAACCATGTTACAGCTACTCTGACTTAACTGAGTCTAGTTAATGCCCTCACGCGTGCCCCCCCCAGATCCATTCACCCTAACGATACATCCCATAGATTTATTGAAGAAAGGATTTTTTCACTCAGCAGTTGCCAGTTCATGGGTCTGTTTGAAATTCTTCCCAAGCTTTTTCTTAGTTGTCAAAGGGCAGACATGGAACAATTCCATATCTGATATCAGGAAACACAGGATCAGGGCTTAGAAGCTAGGCAAATGTCACATCACACACTGGAAGAACTAGGAAGTACATTTGGTTTGGTTCCTCCAATCCCATTGTCTTTACTCTTGTACAATTCATTTGCTTTAAGGATGTATCAAACGGGAAAAGGGAAACTTGTATTTATATTAGAGTTTTCCAAACTGAGTGATCTCTTTCAATATTTCTTAACTACGGAAACTAAAGTAAGATTTTTAAAACTTCTGTTTGGGATGGTATAGCAAAAAATGATGAACCAGCTATGACTTGGACCCTTGCATGCACTCTCCTGGGATCTGGTATGAGCTCACTCATGGAGTCATGGTGGACTCAACCTTGAGTTCAAGGTTTTGGTGCCACTCGTGGCACTACTGGAGCCAGCATGGTAAGAGAGACAAAATGTTCAGTCATTTACCTGGATGGTGCAAAATATTCTAGGGAATAAAGAGAAGAAAAACTTGGACAGAATAAAGAGAAAATGGCTTTCAATGATCCCTTATGTTTGAACCTTTTGAATAGCGCTCTTTCCAGAATGGCTCAACATGAGTAGAAAAAAGTGACACATAGCAAAACACAGTGTCGGTTACATGTTTGAATCTCCACTGTCAAAATCTGTTTCTCTGCTTATTTGCAGTATTTTGGTGTGCATTCTATCACAGTCATTCTGTGTAGGAAAATTCTAATGAATTTTGTATATACTGGGATCTACAGTAAACTCTTCTGGGTTGTAACAAACTATTGGTGTAATAGGACCCATCTAGGAAATACAAGTATGGACCTTGTCTCTTTAACTCAACTTTGAAAGGGAATCAGGCATTTTAATGAATTCCTGCTCTCATCACTCTTTGGAATTTACCAAAGCAGAGGGAGAATTACAATCATCCTGTAGCTCCTAAGATGGACATTGCTGGTATCACTGACTTAAAAAGATCCCTTTTCCTCTCTGTGTTCACACAAGTTCCTCAGGCAGGTTGAGGCAAATCAGTCTACACGTTTCCAAAATGAACTTGGCACCATGGGTGCTATGTCTTTTTTAGCTGTGGAGCAGAAGTCTTAACCACTGGGCCTTTATGGCTTTCTCTTCTTACTGTCCCACAGACGAAATACAGGAGAGGTGAGATCCTTGGGATTCATGCTGAATCCACATGGCTTGGTATCCTCTGACCTCTTTACCGCAGTCTCATAATTTTACTTGTCATGGAAATGCTCAGTAATCAGTGCAAATCCAAACTGTTCCCAGAAACAAAAGAGAATGAAAGTGTGGCAAGGTTATGTAGCTTCCTCCTCAAGCATCAAGATCCCTTGGAATTGATTACTAGGAGTTTGGAGTTCTAGAAATCTGTTCAAAACTATCAACTACCTCAGTGTAGAAAGGCTAGCAATTCTATATAAAGGTGTGTTTTATTACTGTGTTTCTTGGCAAGATAAGTGCCTGTCTTCCCAACCTAAGCCCACCAGGCCTCTACCAAGCAGGCAGAGCACAATGCCCGGGTCTGATTCACTGGCAGGAAGCCCTAGGTTCTTCCCTTGTGATGGCTTTAAGAGGCTGTTTGGTGATCAAGTTTTGGCTGGGTCAAAAACCATGCTGTGGGCGTCCATGTACATAGCCATTTTCTTTGCAACCTACCGTCTCTCACAGAAAAAGTGATGCTCTTTGATGTCACACATTTTAGTTGACATTATTTAGACTATTCAAATACATACTGGAGCAAAGTCAGGTTCAAATGTTATCCAAACTTGCTCCAAACTTGCTTCAGATGCAGAGGGTAAAATGTGCACCTGTCAGCAGGGGGAGGGGTCAGTACCTGAGAACTTGGTGTTCTCAGACCACTTTGTTGGTCCTGCATATAGAGCCATTTTATAGAGGGTCAAGGCTTTTGAGTTGGCACAGTGAGCGTGTTTGCTATGGTTTCATTGTGTAAAGAAGGAAGAAGAGACAGATTGGGCAGAGGAAGCTTGATCACAGTGCAGCAGGAGTTGTGGGGCCCTGGTGAGCAGTTCTGAATGGCTCCAGTGTCCTTTGTCATGAGTGTATGTTAGAAACTTGAAGTCCTACTTCTCAGATTCCAAATCTGACCATGCACTATCAAAAATGAGCTCTAGAAGTTTGGATCTAAGCAATCCTTTTCAGAGTCACGTATGCATTCTTCAGTCCCTGTGTTTGCACATTGAAGCAGAGCTCTACTCAGGGTGTCGTGCCCCACTCGGTCTCCTGAATGGACATTCAGGCCAGGCTAAGACTGCCTAACCTTGACCTGGGAGCAAGAGTGTACATTTACTCATTATTGATCCACCAGCCTGGAGACAGTAGGATACAACATGGATAGCACTGTCCTCACTCTACTTTGGTCATGCTCATGCTGAAAAGTGCTCAGTGAAAGGCATAGTAAACTAGTGGGGGAAAGGAACCTTTGCATCCTCTGAGTCTCCCAAGGAGCTCTGTGGACAACTGCTTGTAAGTGAGGTTTTTCTTGGGTGCATTAAAGTCTGGGGTATAACATTTGAATCTGACTTTGCTCCAGTATGTATTTGAATAGTCTAAATAATGTCAACTAAAATGTGTGGCCTCAAAGAGCATCACTTTTTCTCATTCCATGGGGCTCACATGACACCCAGTCTTCCATCCTTGGAAAAATTTCTGGATTATGAAGGTAATGACGGCCTGGATCTGTCCATGTCCCTCAAGTTATACCATGGTTGGTCACAAGGAACACTTGAAAGCCGTTTACTATGCCTTCTGAAGATGGTAGTCTTCATCCATTTGTCTTCTCATACAAAATTTTATTTTACAATGTCCTTTGTCCCTCCAAGATAGGCCATATTTAGCATATCTGGGAGTGACTGTCAGAGACCTAAGTTCTGAGTAGGAAATGTGCCATAGCTACTTAGATGAGGAATACTAATAGAGAACTGTATCAAGTCTCAGTTGTAGACTTATTTCCAAGCACAGTACCCCAAGGCTTTTTGGCCAGGGGAAAGATACCTAGCATCTCACAACTAGTGACAGGGAATCTACAGCCTGGAGAAGCTCTCCCTGAATTCTAGTTTGAAGGCAACTCCATAATAACAAGTGAAAGCACAGTAAACTTGCCTGCCCTTTCGTGTTATGGTCCAGAGAGCTATGATCTTTGCATCTGTCATGGACCAATCAGTGACTGAGTAGTGTTTTGGCTTCTAGTTCCTGCCCTAGGCAACACTTCGCATGACAAAATTTCAGTAAACCCTGGGCAAACGTGCTCTGAGCACTTGTTCACTTCTAAGTCCCTTCAGACCACTTCTCTGTAGCCAATATTATGGGATCGAGAGCTGTTTATTTCTCAATATCCAGTCCCATGGTGCCTTTGTCAATCCCTACTAGAGGTCATATGTGGCAGAGCTTAAAGTGGTTCTCCCTGGGTTGGGGACCCAAAGCATCCAGTGAAAACCTGAAGCCCATGGCAAAATCCTGTCCAAGTCCTAATAGGCAGCAGTATCCTTGCTGGGGAGACCAGAGGATATATGGCAGAAAGGCCGAAGGGTCAGTGCTGGAAGTTTAAGTGTCTGTGCTTAAAGGCTGAGGGACATGCATTGGAAGCCAGGAGAATGATTCTCAATATGAATATGAGAATTGAAGTACTCTCAAAAATGGCCAAAAGGCTGAAATTCCTCTGAAGAAAATCAGTCACAATGAATCAGCAAAGAAAATTAGCCAAAATCTTCAGCTTTTTTTCTCCTATGGTTTTTCCACATTCCTCAAAGTGGGTTTTTCATGCTCAGAAGTGTTGGTGTGACACTAGACTACTGGTCACTGACCACAGACTGCATGCAGGAAGCCAAAGTAAGTTTCATGTTGTCGCTTCCATTCTGCCTCTGAAGTGATGGACCTCTGACTGGAGAGGGACCTCCAGATACTACTGGCCAATCTGCCTTCATACTTGGAGGCCGGAGATGGAATCCTGGCTTTGTGCGTGAAGTTCTTGAGGCTACCCAGTGCATAAAGGGGGAAGCAAGATTCCAGTTGAATCTTCAGAATATGTGTTCCTGCTTTGTGCCACTACCTCTGACTCCTGGGCAGCATTTATGCAAAGTATATGCCTGACTTGACAGAAAGGCTGGCTGGCTAGGTTCTGGGAGAAGGGATATGGCAGAGGGGCTCATGGTTGGTTCCTTTTGCTTCATCCAGATCTTCTATCTTTAAATCAGATGCCCTCCCCTAAATTTAAAGACCCAACCCAAAAATGGCATCTGAGATAAATTTGTACTTCTCAGCTGAAGTACAAACAGAAAGTAAACATATGAAAAACAGTTCATCTTTGGTCATTCAGGAGGGGTGACTTAAAACAATCCTGAGATTCAATATATATGGCTATTATAAAAACAATCATCAACAAATTCTAGTGGGGCTGGTGGGGGAAAAGAACCCTTCACTGTTGGGCGAACGGACTGGTGCAACCACTATGGAAATCAGTATGGAAATTCTTCAGACTAGGATGAGAGGTCTCATTTGACCCAGCTATTTCCCCTTTGATATCTTCCCAAAGGGATTAAAAATGTATCATACCATAGTAATATATGCAAACCGATGATTATAACAGTTGGTAATAGCTACATCTTGGAAACAGCCCAAATACCCATCAATGAGTGGATAAACAACTTTTATACAGTCATAAAGGATACACGTGAGACATTTATAGCTATAAACAAATGGATCTTGTGAGCATACTAAAGTGAAATAAATTGGAGATGTTTAAATATCCCATTCTTGTATGAGAAACTGAAAGTTTTAAAAATCATCGTATAATACTATGAAATGGGAAGAAATTTTTCAAAAGGAAACTAGAGAGTGGGAGAAAAATGAATGAAAGAAAAGGATAAAATGGAAACAATTTTGTAAATCAGGAGAGCAAGAGGGGCTGAAGACAGAAGGGAATGGAAAGAGGAGGGTATCTATCATGTACCGGTCCAAATACCCTGTGAATGTGATCATGTTGTAGCAATAATAAAAATAATAATTCTGAGCAGAAAATGGGCCTAAACCATGGGTTCAGTTTTTCTGGCATAACATTTTTGCTTCTTTGGAACCCGAGTTATTTCTTTCATCAATATGCTCTTTGGAAGGCGCTCATCTTAGGAAAGCCAAGGCTTGAATCCACTTAGTCAATCTTGGGTGTGATGCTCAGAGTTTGATAGACCGGAATGAAACATCTGTCAGTGTGAATAAACTTAGCTTTAATAATTGCTCTTATTGATCAGACCTGTGTCTTTGTTCAATATTTGATCAGGGATTTGGATAGATTGAGTTGTGGTGCCCAAAACCCTCACCCTGTGGACATGCTCGATTAATCTATGCTCTGATGCCCTCGTCCTCCAATACACTGACAGTTTCCATCTGCAAAGATCCTCCTCTTCAAGAGTTAACATAATGGACTCATGCAGTGGTCTTCCTAGAGTTTTATTTAGGACATCATGAACCTTACAACTTCTGCCATCTGAGGTGTCCTATTTTAATCTTTGAGGGGACTGCTGGAGGAGCTGAAGAGTAAGCTTGCCAGGGGCTTGCTGGCGGTTAAGACCCAAAGTCCAAAGTCGCTAATTGAGACATTTCTTATCGTGTTATCATCCTTATCTTGGTAGTTCCTGGTTCAATAACCAAATTGTAAAGGCTTTTCATAGTCCTAAAGTATCTTCCAAGGCCTCATCACAAAACGGAAAGCTACAAGAAAGAATCCAATAAAACTGGATTCACCAAGTGCTCCTGGGTCAGGCAGAAATGAAATGCTCAGTGTCCTATGGCTCCTGATGTGTTCTTGTGGGTCACTTCGGTTTCCCCAAATGTGTAAACTCACCCATCAGAACAATTGACCATGAACTGAGGGATACTTGGCAACATACCTGGCAAGAACTCTTCTAAATGGTTAACATGAAGGCAAGCAAAAGTAGGTATGACGTAGTATCCAAGATTCTCTTCTGGAATGTGATTTACCAGGGGAAACAAGTCCAACAATGCAAACCAGTCAATGTAGTAATAAGGTTTGTCTGGTGACCGGCTGTTAGGTATTAAGGGAACCTGATGAAGTGAACATGAGAAATCGGTCATTCTGACTCTGCAGGTTATATCTGGTTAGATGGATGGCTAATAACTTGGAGACGACAACTCCTGTAGCACATGTCTATCTGTTCAAGCTCTGATTTTCTTGGAGGTCTGACCTGGTGTGGCTCCCAACTTGATAGGAGTTGAACAAAGTGGCACCCTGGTCTTTTTCCTTGTTACTATGACTTTGGTGTCATTGAAAGTGGGTGTCTTGATGTCTCCAGCCTTGCCCATTTTACTCAGCATTGCCTCGGCTCTGCTGGGTCTCCTGTGTTTCAATGTAAATCTTCCTGGTACTGTGAAGAATGTTACGGGATGGGAATTCCTATGGAAACTCAACTTGGATTGCTTTTTATAGTAGCCATTTGAATAATGCTCTGCTTATCCAAAAACATGGGAGATCTTTGTCACCTAGAAATTGTTGCCTATAAGTCTCAGGAAACGGAGGTAGAAGTCTCTTGCCTCCTTGGTTAGGTTGATTGCTAGGTATTTTCTCAATCTACTATAAATGGAATTTTCTCTTGGTTTCCATCAATAATAAACTGGTTGAGAGCAAGCAATCTTTAAATGTTGATTTTTGTATCCTATTTTGCAGAAGTTTGTTTTTTGGTGGAGTGCTTAGGGCTTAAATACAGCATCTTATAACTTTCAAATAAGGATAATTTGTCTTCCTTTCTGACATACATCCTTTTTTCTCTTACCCAGTTGTGCTGAGTAAAATCTCCAGTACCACATTGACTAGAAGTGGTGAGAAAGAACATCAATCTTTTCCTGATTTTTGAGGAAGTGGTTGGTTTTTATCCATTCAGAAACAGTAAAGGGACAACATCATACTGAAGTGACAGTGGTGTCAGCTTTAAGTGAACTCAGATTGTTTTTCATTTGAGCAAATGGAAATTAAGGGAATAGATGAGTAATAATTGCAGCAATGACAGTAGCAGTGCTGTTGGGAAAAGAAAGTTCTATGCCTTAAGGCCAGGACCCTAAATTGATTCTGAAGAGCAAATATTCTGAAGCCAGATGACTCAGAGCTGAGAGGATGTCACGAACCAGTGGGGAACAACACCTGTGCCGGGAGGGACAGTTGTCTTAGAACCACACTGTGTATTGTGCCTCTTGTGACTTAATTGAGCAGACTGTTTGACCTCTTAATGTTGGAGACTCGCTGATAACATTCCACCACCAGTCCAAGATTGCTGGTATATTTGTATGTGGGCAACAATCAAGCCTTTATGCATCATCCAGTGAGTAGTTTAATGTTCTAAGGTGGTAAGTTCAGGGCTCGCTGCATAGCCATCGTCTGGTAGCATGAAAGCAGAAAGACTTGCAAAATGGGATTATGAAGATTTTTGTCCTGCTTCCCATTATCTGTGGTCCACTTTAGCCTTTTGATTTCTCAGAATGCAATATTTAAAGACCTGTGTCCCGTTTCATTTAAAACCTTATGTAAGAGGAGAGGGCAGGGAGTTGAAAGAGGATGTAAGGAGCTCACAGTGCAGCACAGCTGGCATTTAATGAGTTGCGGGAGCCACGGCTCCAACACAGGGCATGAGTGCAACTCCTGAGCCAGCCAATTCTGAGGGGGAAGTAAGGTACGCTCAGACCAGGACATGAATTTTTTTAATGATCTTCACAGGGCTCTGCAAAAGTAAAACTATTAGGAGTTAGAGTGCCAACATGCAAAGTGACAGGGGTTTAATTGAGGTCTCATTTGTGACAAAAATGTAGGCATCCCTGGCACTGAGTGTAGGTTGATACATTCAGGGGCTCCACAATATTAAACACTTGGTCATAAACACATGCAAGAAGCTGTGCCTGTTATTATTGCCAGTTATTAGGCCATTTTCTGTTTCTTGTGGCTTCATCTACCTCAAACACATTGGTTGTAGGAAGGACCTGTCCCCAAACTCCCTTGCTGGATCTTTTCAGGAAGACCATGATGATGGTCATCACTTTCTCACTAGCTGTTAAGTGATAACAGACTTCTGATTCTCTGGCTGGTCACCTAGTACCTGTCCACTGGTAAACCATGGGGCTCTTGATGTGTATCATAGATTTGAGTTGGCTGAGTTGTTACAAGTGTCCCAAACTCCTCAGGGTTGGATGCTGCATCACTTGAGTGGTGCGGATTTAAGGTGCTAGATGTTGGGCCCTCTGCTTCATCCTCACTTAGCTGGTACATTGTGTACTATGGGGCAACCGGCCAAGAGTCTTGGTTGTTAACAATGGCTGGGATGTCAATGTCCCTGGATCCATCTTCCTCCACTCCATAAAGGCCATGATTTGGTTGATATAGTGGTAGGCAGGACTAGCAAAGAATTACAACTTGGACTCCAACTCCAGAGGGCATTGGTAACCTTACATTTAAAATATCCTAAACCTGAAGTTATAGTCCTATGATTTAAGAAGCTGTAGACCTTACACTTAAATTACCTTGTCCGTGATTATCCTGAGGTAAGAAGGCATAGATCTTATGCTTGGAAGAGTCAATGAGAAATACCAGATGGTTGGTAAGAACCCCAATCCTTCCTTTCAACCTACAGGAAAATATGCAAAACCAATCACTGAACTTATGGTCCCCAACATTCTGTAGCCCAGAAAACCTGGAATGATCAATGGACAATGCAGTGATGGTATCAGGAGTCTCCATCTATTGGCGCAATATGTGTAGAGCACCAGCGAGAGCCAAAGAAGGAAGCAGTGGTGCATCTCCCAGTACTGTAGGGTACTGCCACTCCTGATGTCTGACATTAATATCTTGATGTGCTAGGTCTTGGAATGAGCACTGTACTCTCTGCACACAGGTTTGTGTGCTGATGAAAAGTCTAGATGGGTAAAGTCTTGAGTGTGGCATAAAAGCACCAGCAGTGTGAGCAGAAGCTTGAGGCACTTTTAGAATATTACTTGGTCAGCCCATCCACCAGCACAATCCATGCTGCAGGCAGTACAGTAGAGCCTCACACTGGGTGTTCTGTGGTGAATGAACCATAACCATCCTGTTAAGTGCTCTCCAAATTTGACTTTTAAATCACTTGACTTGAGTCTCCTTGGTATGGTGATAATCACACACAGGTAGCATGAAAGCTTTTTCTAGTTCATCAGCCATTAGACTATGATAGCTAAGACCCTGGAATAAAATCCAAGGAAGCAAGAAATTTAGAAATTTGGAACAAAGTCTTTATTTTAGGCCAGGCCTGGTGATGCAGCTTCCGGGAGCCAATATGGAAGATTGTGCACCTTACAGCTATTGGGTAGGGTTTTTAAAGCCCAAAACCACAGGCATGTTGTGAACTTTGACAGTTTGATAGCATCTGGGCTTCTTGGAATCTCCTGTAATTTCCTTGTGGTTAAACATTTCTTAAGGAACAGCAGCACATTTTATTACAGATAGGCAGGAGGGGGGGGGAGTGGGATTTTTAACGCTGAAAACCGCAAAGATTTTGACCTATTTCAGATAGCTTTCGTGGTACATTCTGATGGTCTCCGCGGTTAAACATTTTCCTGGAACAGCACACCTTGCAGGAGCATGTGTAATCAGGTTGGAGGGACTACAAAGAGCTGAAACTTAAGTCTTTACTTAAGACTTGAATGGAATTTTAATCTCTATTTAAATGGCACATACAGAACAGGAAGGAGGCACATTGGTTAGAATTAGGCCACAACAAGACTTTCCCCAAAAATTGGTCATCCACTGCATACAAAAGTGCCTTTCCAAGACACATATTCTTTCACCTTTGAATCATAAAGGGAACCATTGCTGGCAGAAAGTATGGCATACAGAATGAAATTCCACATTGGAATTACTTAACAGCCTTCAGAGGGGCTTTTATAAAGATGAGAATGGTTTCAATATGAAAAAATAGGATGGTGTCCAACCTAGGATGGCCCCAAACATTTTGATACCTGGAGTCCTACTGGCAGGATGTCCAACATGAGGTTGGAGATGAGGATGGTGGTGACCATGGGATGTGGATGGAAAATTGGTGGTTAGTTACCAGCAATAAAGGTCATGAAATTCTGAACACCTGAAGAGCCTCCTTGTTGGCAAGTTTACTAACCTAGTGATATTGAATCTTGGGCTAGAGACTGAGCACTGGTCATTATCCTAAAGCTCCAGTTTATTCTGGTGCAAAGGTAGATCCATGCTTCAACTGGCCTCACTAATTTCTTTGATAAGTGGCTAGGAATGAGAGGAGGGGAGGCCCCCAGGAATGGCTCCCTTGCAATTCAGTTGGATTAATATATTTCAAGCACAGAACCTAAGTTGAATCTAAACCCTGTAGAGGCTTTAAAGCAGTTGGGAAAGAGGCAGGTTACTTGATCTGTCACAATCCCAGGGATGCTTCCATTGTTCCATAAGCAACTAGTATCTATTGGTTGTGACAATGGTTTGTAGTTTTCTGCAGATGGGACTACTTTCTTCAGCATCTCACATCTGCCTGAGATGCTTTGCAAATTAACTCTTCTTTTGCCACACTTTGCTATTCAGGCCACATATTAGTGTTTGCAGGAGAAAGAGATTTAATGCAGGACACAATAATTTGCATGATTAGAGGACAGTATCTGCCCACAGTGTCAAATGTAGAGTACAAGAGATCCATTCTCAAGGTAGAGGTGAAGAGTGAAGCTGAGGGCCTGAATCCCATGGGCAACATCTCCTCAATTCCACATCAGGATGCTGAGGATCTGAAACGGAAGACTAAAGGGTCTGTGCTGTTTCCAGTGGCTGATCCTGGAGGGTAGAATGTGTGGGCAGACTGGGAGGCTGGAGTTGGAAGCCAAAGTCTGCCAAAACCCAGGAGATAAGATGTCCAAGGTGAAAGTAAAGAGCAGAACTCTTCTGAAGGCAATAGACATTTGTGGCAAGTGCACAGAGCAGTCAAAGATTCTCTGAGGAAAATTGGGCTGAAACTTCCTGTCCCATTCTCCTCTTACACCTTGCTGACAGTCCTCACATGGGTCTTCCTCACCTCAACTGGGCCTTCGCACTCAAGCTGACAATTAATTAACCACCGTGGGTGGGTTGCTGAGTTTCCTGACAGTTTTCCATCTGTGTTTTGTGTAGAGAACTAGTTAAGACAGACTAGTTAAGTGAGTCTGCTGGTGCGGCTCTTGAAACAATATTGTAGTTCTGGCTCATAAAATGAGTAGGGGGTGTGTTTCTGATAATTCCCAAGATGGTTCCCATCTATAAAAGTAAGATGCTCACCCAGGGTCATGAATTACAAGACTAAATCTTAGATGCCACAACTGCTTTGTTACAGTCTTCAGCTGCATTAGCAGATCCTTTCTGAGTACTTGCAAATGATGCTTAGTATTTCCTCTGGCCAAGTGGTTTTCGCTGCCTTATATTAGAGAAAGTTACACAAGGATACAATAGGCTGATGCTGTTGCCCAAACCTTGCAGGGGTTTGTTTGAAGTTGTCGTTTTTCTTTATTCTTCACTTTTGTGTTGACGAAATGAGAACTGCTTGCCACTCATGCAGAAATTCAAATTGAATGTTTGGAGTAAAGGTGTAAAACACAAGACACTTAAAACCCCAGCATAAGTAACCAGCATACAGAGACCCACAGATCAAAGACTATAAACCTGGCTCTGAACTTCTTGTTGTCCTGAATGTGAAGTCTATAGCCAGATCTCACTGCAAGGCCATTCTGATGAGAGAGCTCAGACTCATAGCATACCCATGTCAATAGCTGCTATTATGTTGACAGCCCCTGAAACAGGGCCATCTCATTTCTTTAATCCATATGACATGAGGGAGACATTTTTGTTTTCATCTTACAGTGTGGAAGGAGCTCTAGCTCCATGTTCCTGAGAGCACACAGCAAGAGTGACAGAATTTCCTCTCAATTCGGGCCTGCTGGGATTCTAAACCCATGCCCTGTTCAGTGTTAAACCTCCTGTATTGAGTATCATTTGTAAGCCCCAGAAAGCTGTCTTCTCTATAAGCCACAGTCAGGAAGTGCTAGGTAATATCGCCCTCCCAACAACTGAAACTGATTAATGGGTCCTCTAGGTCAAGACTGGACAGGTGACAGAGTCTATCCAGCAAAAAGGATGGAGTCTCACCCTTGAGGTGGGGCTTGGCGTTTCTCAGGTGTAGCCTTTGGTAACCAGGCAGAAGGTGAAGACATTAAGCATACGTTTATGCACTCTAGGCTGTGGTCAAATTTTTTGTACCAGGAATCAAACCGTTGATCTTGCACTTGGCAAGCAGGCATTTATGCCACGGAGCTATGTCCCCAGCCCCTGTGGCCATGACTGTAAAAGGAAGAGGTGAGCATGTGCTTTTTTCAAATCATTTCATGTGCATAAATTTAAGATCAAGAATTTTTAGGTACTTGTTCAAGTTGGAATGTACCGGTGTGCTTGACACAATCGCTGCTCATCTGGGTCATGGTCTACTTGCCATTCCTGTTACACCACAAAACAAGTCCCACTGCAAACTTCATAGTTTGTGAGACCCAAACATACTAGGCATAAAACAATTTTTATAGACCTTTGAGGATACTCGCATGCCTCTTACCTGGGTTCGTTGTTTTCATATTACTCTATTTGCTCTATATTCTTTATAAAATTTGTCTGAGGATGCCCTGCTTTTCTTCAATTAGAAGTAAACTATCCTTGAGAGAGCTGGTAAAGTATGAAAACAGAAAAATTCACATGCTGTCTGATTCAGGGATGCCAAAAGAACCCTAGATAATACTTTGCTAGGACGGGAAGTGCAAGAGTCATCTTGTCCATTGCTAGGCAATGGGTCTCATCGCAAGGTGTTTAGCTGATGGTCTGAGTGAGGGCTATTGGAGTTGGACCAGCATTGCTAATGGACAGCAGAAGCAGCTTCCTCCAGAGTAGTGGGGCAGGGCTGACATTGAGTGAAAGAGTGGGGTGGGGTGTGCAACTACCCACACCTAATCTTCTAAGAGTGCTCCTAACACTGATGACTCATTCATGTGGTTTTGTGCTTTAATCTCTACCTCACTGGGCCAGGCCAGGCCAAGATCATATATTTACATAGAAACCTGACAGCCGGTGCCTACTGTGGTGATTAGAACACACCTAGCTGAGTGTAAGAAGGTCCAGAGGTGAGGATACTAATCCCTTAGAAATTCCTGCAGGTATGAAATGGAAAGTGAACCCAGAATGCTCTGACCTGGAGCAAACTGATGTTCAGTTGGAAACCTCATACAGCCCGAAGAGAATGGGAATGGGTTCTGGAGGACAGAATGACAGCTGGATGATGGTTCTGGGCAAACTGAGTTTTTAAGGACTCAAAATTTCATAACAGAAAATACTGTCTACATCTCTAAACACTTAATTGGAAAAGCTTAAGTATGGTTCCTTATACTGTCATGATAAAGAAATACATGTGACTGACAAAACTCCAGAAGCATATTTTATGTGCAAGTTTGCTTCTTAGCCTGGGATTCCAAGGTAGAAATGTACTCATGTCATCAGAAGATGGAGCTCTGCTCATGTGAACAGAGCTAGGAGCAAATTCCCACTACCTTAGTTGATTGGCTTTTACAGCTCTGAGAATTGCTCTGTGCTGGTGCAGGTAGATGTACTTGAGTTCCTTCCAAGCTGAATCTTATTTGAACTTTCCTTCAATGGGGGACCAGTTAGATAAGGTGGTCATCCAAGTTGAGACCTCTTGGAGCATTGTATTTGTATAGCTTACCCTTCCTGGAATACTAAAAAGAAAAACAAGAGCTTGAACTAGAGTAGGACTAGAGACTGCCTGATGTGCAAGGCTGGGAATTTCATGCACTGAATTTATAATGTCCTGTATAGCAAATAGGGTGGATCCAGCAAAGGGTTACTACTGACTTTAAATCAGCATATGCCTGTCCTAACATGTGAGGTAAGGACCATTTTTTTTTAAAGGGAGTAAAATGCAACAATAAAGTGAAATGAAACAACAGTGATAGGACAGTAGGAAATGAACAATGGTTACTACCTGGGATAATCTTACCTCTAATTAGTTGCCCAGGTCTTGCCAGCTGATGAAACCAGTTAAATGTCAGGTTGCTTCCTTACTTCAGCTCTTATCTCAGGCTGTGTCTTGTCCAGTTGCTTCCGGGGGGAAGGGTCAGGTGGGAGGTACAGTTTCCTTGCTGGTTCTCCTTGGCCAACAGGGCCCCCTGTTGACTCAAGGAGCAGGGACTGGGTTGCTTGCTTGCTCCTTGCCCCTGACTGGTAAGATGTGCCCCAGTACATGGAAGGTGGGGACTGCATTGCTTTCCTGTTGTTTCTCCCCATGTGGTGGGGCTGGCACCCTTGGTTTCATTGTTTTTGCTGGATTCCTGAATTGTTTCTGTGGCTTTGTCTGTTCAGATCTACCTCCACCCATAGGACCCACCTCTCTCCTCCTTTTCCTCTTCCTCATAGTGCTGCTTCCAGGATCTAGACACCAAAGCTGGAGAGGTTCTTTTTCTCTGTTGTGCACTTGAATACAGAACAGCACTGTGTGAATTTATCTAGTGATAACTCGGGAATCTGAAAGAATGAAAGCCCAACTTTGGTTCATTGTCTTTCCCAAAGCCTGGATGACTTGGCAATCTTGGTACAGCAGTGAACTGGACTTGATAGTTTGGGTCAAACTGAAATTTGACTATAGAAGTTAAAGCCACAGGCCGGAAGCCCAATTTTGTTTTTTACAGGATATCTTTTTTGTATTGCTGTAGTATTTCACATGATTGACTTCAAGTTTTTACATTGTATAGTAGTATAAGGTTCCTGTACCTGAGACAGACTTTGGAAAATGGGAAATAATTTTGTGCAATCATGGGGAATTATATAATAAGCTTCCTCACAGTTAAGGCAATCAGAGACTTAAGTACATCTCAGCTTCATGGTGTCTTGCTCTTTTTGGGCACAAATGAAACCAAAAGGACAAAATGTATTTTGATGAAAAATACTGAATTTCTCCATGTTGCCATGAAAGATCACATAAAAGTGAATTTGTACACTTCGTAGGCGTACTGTCTTTCAGTGTGTTTGCTTATGTCTTCTGAATTTTCAGGAATCATCAAAAGCTCACATAATCTACATGGGGATTCCGTACACTGAGGATTCCTCATTTATTTCAAGGTAACTAGAATAACTTAGGAAAAGCCATCTATGGAAAATCCCTATGTGAATATTCACTTATTTGAAGGCACTGGGGGCAGCATAAAACCTAATGTTGCTCACCTATGTTCAAAGTTTTTTCTCCCTTATGGTTTTTCTCAAGTATGTAATGGGAGTTGTATATACTGAAAACTTCCCACCGTTTTTAGGTCTTCTCTCCACTGAGTTTGCCTGTATGTAAGTGCTGTTACAAATACACAGGCAATTTCCTGACACTTTTAAATGTTAACTACAGAACAACTGAAGGGTTTTGTACGTTGCTCACATAGGCTCTCATCCTTATGTGGTTTCTTGTCATGTGGGCTTGAAAGCTTGCCACTTTGGATATCTACAAAGTGTAAGTCCAACTGCAGTCAGAAGGATGTTTTAGTTGTCTGGGGCCAATCTTGGCCTCACGCTGAAAGATTAGAACTTCGATGCCATCAGCCAACTCTGAAAACCTAGGTCCGGCTATGCTTTGCTGTGTAGTTGTGGGTTGATGCCCAGCCTGAGCTGTGCTTACATGTAAATTGTATGTGTAGACTTCTGCAGACTCCTGCATTAATCTAAGTGCTTTGAGAAGGAGAGATGTTAAGAGATAGGTGAGTTTCACAGAGAAGGCAGTGCTAAGGCAAAGGAGCTGGGGGAGGCTGGAAGGGCCTCAGACTTGGATGGAGGTTGGAACACAGAGGCAGGCTGATTGGAAGTGTCCTTTGGTCTGGGGCATTCTGAAGTTCAAGGCTATTGGGCAGTCTCCAGAGAACAGAAGTGGCACCTTGTTCGCAGTGGCTGATACGAATGTATCAGAATTGCAAGTCATCTTCCTGTGGAAGGAGCACATGGCTCATCTCCCAAGTGAGTTGGAAATGAGGAAGCCGATTACTGGTGAGGTCACTTTGCTCTTGGCTCTGATTCCAGGGTAAAAGCAGTCTCCAGTCTAGTTTTCAGTGATGGTTCAAAGCTACATGTCCAGTGGTGACCTTATGCCTATGTCTACCCCAGTACATGGCCCCATGTGATTTTGTTGTTGCGGGGATTCAGAACCACCCATCGTGAACACACAGTCTGAGCTTCATCAAATATATTGCCATTATAGCCTTAACTTTTAAACAAAAGGCTCATGTTATCATTAAGATCTGTAAGATTTTTGAATTGAAAATATTTGCCTTCCCTTAGTTTGCATTGAGCTCCATTAGTTATAAAGCTGTGCCTGAGTGGATACTATCACTCATGGTCTGGGTGGGAAATGCCTCTCTCAGTGCTGGATTGAAGATGCCTTAATGAATGGACCAGGTAGGGACACAAAGGCCAAACAGGAGAAAACTAACAAGGAATAGCCGAGCAAACAGGACAGTGATGGGGTTGGAGGGTGAGAGCCAGTGCCATCCCTAAAGTGCTAATGGTAACAAAAGCTTACAACTAAGGGTAGGGCAGGAGCTGCCTGAAAGCAGCTAGGGTGGGGTGCTCTTGGAGCCTCCCAATACTTGAGGCCTAGAAAAAGGATTTGGGGGTGAGTCAAGGTCTCAGACTTAATCCTCCACTACATTCCTAAGGTCAGACTCCTAAAATGGCGGGAGGCCACGTGGGAGGTGGCTCATGCAATTTGGCCTCCTCGGGCACCTGAAGCAAATGAAGATTGTCAGCTGAAGAGGCAAAATAAAGGAAAAACCAGACAGCATGACATGATAGCTCTCCTTATGGTAGCAAATGACAGCTTCTTGAAGGACATGCAAAACTTTCATGTCTAGTAGTTGGAGCCTAAGTTATAACTGACTTCACAGGGCTTTAGCTAGAGAGGCTGTGTTTGATGTGCATGATCCTAAACAGGAGCCAGGGGTATTGGAAATGGTCCATGTTGAACAGAGGTCTCCACTTCACAATTCAAAATGCATGGTCCCCATTCTTCAAGGGCTACAGGCAAGAAATAGAGATGCTGGCAAACACCATTGATAGTCACCAGAAGTGACTGAGGAAGAGAGCCAATTCTCAGTGTTGGCTCGTCAAGCCAAGTTGGGACATCTAGGGTGGTCAGTTAAGACCTTACTGCTCTGGGCACAGTGCTGCCCCCTAAGAAGGGTTAGAACCCTGAGGGCCGAAAGGAACAGCTACCCACCTTTCCTCAGGGCTCAAAGAGGGCAAAGGTGTAATTCACTGTGTGTCCCTCTATACTGAGACCTCTGTTGCAGTAGCCTGTCACCACAGGATGCTGCAACCACCTTGCCTGGCAACTTCACTGGCCTCAATGCATTTCTGGCACCCAGGAGGGGAGCCCTGCAGGAGGCTCAAGTTTCAACATCTTGTCCTGGTCTAAGTGGGGTGTGGGGTTTATATGAGGATGAGAACTTGAGGGACTGCTGGGACTCATTCTTATAGTTTTCTGAGAAGACTCTAGTTTCTCTAACTTTCTCATGACCAAGCCTCGATTTCAAGGACAAGGGCCATAGTCCTTATGTCACGTCACCACAATTATAGCAAGAAGAGCTTGGCACCTGTGTGCCTCTTGGTGTTCACACCCAGCTGTGCAGTGGGTGCATTTCAGCAGGGGGCACCCAGAGGCCTAGAGACCCTGTTTTACACTGTCTTGGCCTAGAATGCCCAGTGCAGAAGGAAAGAGACTTCCCTGATGGGTTCAATGCCTGAGTGCCCCTAACCACGTGTGGTCATTCCAACTCCAAGGGCAGGCCAGTAACCTCCTAGTGGTCACCACATCCTGTTAGCAGTCCTCCTAGCAGCCTCCTAGCAGTCCCATGACTGGAACTTCACTTCAAGGGTGCTGGTCCTGCAGCTCCTATCCTGATTTGCATGGAGCATTGCTGCCCAAAACTGGCCAGCATTTGGGCAAGGAAGACCTGGGCATTGCAACCCTTGGACACTCTAGTCTTCACCAGTGCCGTGGATAGGAGGGAGGATGCACCTGAGCAGCCTGGGCTTTGATCTGAAAGCACTGAACTAGCTTCTCCCTGCCAGAGAGGACTCTATGACTCCAGTCTTTCTGAGCGAGGGCTTCAGTCTTGGTGAGACTGTGGGACACAGTGAGCTGTGTGCAGGTCACCTCTCAGATTTTCACATACAGCTGCTAAGCTATGGTGTCCCTCATCATTTTTGGGACACCTGCTCCTTCCCAACTCTGAAGCAGTCACTCAGGAAATGAGATATGGGTAAGAAAATAGCTCGAAATTCTCCTGCTCACTGCTCTGGGATGTTAGCACCAAACATGATCACAGCATGATCATGAGGGTGTAGGTTCACTGAGGATGGCCACAGGGAACTGGCCACCCATCACCACCACACACAGGTGTGAGAGTCAGCAGGTTTCCCAGCTCTTCTGAAATTGTTATTTGTCATAAGCCTTAGTACAATTTGATTTGAGTATGAGCAGGGAATGGTTGGGGGCTGGAGATTGAGTCAGCCCAGGGGACAAACAGTGCAGCAGGGAGTGGGGGATTTGCTCATCTGCTGACTGATAGGACAATGCTGTGGGTTTTGATTTATCTTTACATTTTGTGTATGGCCCCTGGGAGACATTGGGCTTCATGGATTCTGTGCTGCAATCTCGCCAAAACAAATTGAGCTCACCTTGTGGTTTTCTCTCCCTTATAAAAGGTGAGGTGTCATTCAAGGAACTGGTTGAGACCTCTTGGCAGTGGCCCTCACTGGTCCAGTCCCATGAGAATAGAACTGTGATCCAATATGAAGGCCAACTTGTGCAGTCTGGGGTTTCCCCAGCTTGCACAAAATATCAATGGGGTTAATTTTCTGTCCCAGGTTGATGGTGGCTCAGCTTCTGTCCCAGGTTGGTTCTGGCTCAGCTTCTATTCTGTGCTGATTATCACTGCTAATGTGCACCCTAACAGAAATTGGCTCGGACTGCACAATCTCTGGTTACACACAGTGTGGCTGGACTGCTTTGGCCTCAGTAAAGATATGGGTTCCAGATGTTGGGCAGGAGCAGACTGTGAATGTCTGAGGCCCAAGGGGTTTCGCCTTGTGTAAGTCTGTTAGGAGTGCCACTTCTGAAATGGTTTCAGTGCTGTGTTGCTCCATGGGTCCATGTCAGGTAAGACAATGTCAATTCTGAGTGCCCAAAGTAGTTGTGGTTCATCATAGGTCTCACCTGGGGCCATGTGTGTTTGGGACAGTGGACACAATACCGTGATTGGACGTGATACAGGAGAATCTATCCCTTTGTACTACACATTAATATTGAGGTCCTCTTGGACTAAATAAGCAAACAGTATTTTGAGTATGGGTGTAGTGGACAGAAACAGTAGCTGTTTGGGTGCTAGCTAAGCCACAGACTCTCAGGTCAGTGAAGATCTTGATCCCGATATCTCCATAGTCATTAATAAGCAAGGTGTGTTGAGGTCATGCACCATCAAGAACCCAGGCTGTGAGCTGAATGTGGAGACTTGCTTTGTGCTGTAATTCTGTGGGTCTAAGCCCTCAGCACATCCCTTTTCAGCCATGAGGAATGAAGAGGCAAAAGGGATAACACATACACATGTCAGCTCTAACATGGAGGCATAGGTCCCTTCTCTGGTTCCAGATGTCATTTGGGGGAAATGTAATCTCTACCCAATTCCTTTTTTCCATGCAGCAAAGATTTTGTCTATAGTGCCAAAATGCAGTTTTGAAAATATTGTAGAATGGACAACTCAGAGCAGTGCACTTTGAGATCTGACTCTGAAGGGCTTCTGCTCGCTCTGATGGGTTGTCTTTGTCAGCACTGACAAAGTCTTTGCCACCACTGTGTGTGTTTCTGAGTCTCCTCAGATAAGCTAAACTCTGTATAAATGGTAGTTTGCCCTTAGTCTTGGCTATGGAGAGCATAGGGTTGCAGTTGTCAGGTCAAAGCAATGCCAAGGAGACAGACAAGACCAAAGTGAGTGGGAAACTGTGGGTAAAATCATCTCATGGAATAAAATGGGGTCCAGTATGGCAGCCTTCATGAGCAGTCTGGAGGGTTCTCCAGCTGGTGTCACCCATGGCAGCACCTTTAGGCCACACTAAACCTGGAGTGAAAGCAAACCCCACTGAGTTGGACTTTATGTTGAGAAAATGTGAATATAGTCGCTAGGGATTCTGAGGGAGAGTTAAGCTGCACCTAGGACATCTTTTGAATGGATCTCACCAGTTCATGTGTGAAACTGATGAGTGTTGCTTTCCCAGCATCAAATACAGCACACGGGTATCTAAGAGTGGGACCTGTGAGCAGGATGGCACTGTGATGGGCATGATTCTTGGGCACTCAACATCTTGTTGTCCGTGTGGAATTGGCAAATATGAGGTAATTCTTTGACTACAAATTGAATCGCAATGGGCCATGTGAAGGATGGCATGATTGATCCTCGTGTCCACATCAAGCTGCCGGTCCTTGAACACATGTCTTACAAACTAGCCTTGCCTGGCACAACTCTAATGATACTGTGTCCATAGAATTCTCTTTGCTTATTGCTACAAATTCAAAGTTACATTCTTCTGAAACAGTTCCACTCACCTCAGAATACTAAGTGAGTTTTTAATGGAGACAAGTGGCAGCAGCTTTGGTGACCAGATGACGTTGGCAGGAAAATGCTGCAGATCCATTTCTTAATAGTGGAGCTATAAGTTTCTCCAGTTTCAAAGCAGGGATGCTACTTCCCACTGTCTCTATCTTCTCATTGTCAGCTTTCTGTGGATGGTTAGAGCAGCATAGAATCGGGTAAAATTGAGCGGAAAAAGCCCTGGAATCTTTAGCTGCATTTCCCAGTGGGAGTTTGTGTTTTCCTCTCCTGCACAGTGCTATTGACATCTGGATGTCTTCGCTGGGGCACAGGTGTGATGCTTTTCAGTGCTCAGGGTCAGCCAACACCTCTGTTAGGCTCCTGAGGCCTTAGACTACTACAATACACAGTGTCTGCAGAGGGAACTTTGCCCGTGTGCAAGTCTAAAGTGGTACAGCAACAGTGCTATCTGTTATGGGGGAGGCCCAACCATTGAGCGCCATTTCACACATCAAAACCCATCATCAAAGATTTCATAAAGGTCAAGAAAAGCTTTGAAAACACCATAAAATACTTAAGCTACTAAACACTTTTTGTAGCGCTCTAAGCCACAGTTTATTAAGTTGATACTGAAGGCCTTTCTAGAACGTATGGAAGTACCTTGGATTTTCAGCTGGGGACCTCAGAATACTGAACCTGGAAACCTTGGGAGGAAAGCGTGGCTCTATTCCACAGGAGAAGAATCTGCTGCTGCTAGAGTTCTGTCAATGGTTTTGTTACCCCCGGTTGGTCTCAGTGATCTGCAGATGATAGGGTCAGACAGGTTGGCAGGGAGACTCAGCAAGGAATAGGGTGGAGTAGGGCCGTGTTCTCCTTCAACTGTCTCCCAGGAGCATTAGGAAATAAGGACATTTTGTCTATGTTGTCTCAAAAATGCTTCACATTAAATATCTGAGCTCTTCAGCTTCAAAGCAATGAGATTCTTTTATCCTGGTGGGACTAGAGAGTCCCCACCGAGTCCTGGGATTTCACATACAAGATTGGGATCTCAGGTTTTCTGATGGTGAATCCATGGTGAGGAAATTCAGAGCTGTGTGTTCAGTGTTGTCCCTAAGTGTTTATCACAGGAAATATGATACAATGAGTAACTTTGATAGAGAGTGATATGCATAGCTTCTGAAAATGAAGATCAAAGGTGATGTTGCTTCCTGGTCATCTGAAAAAAAAATTAAATCATGGAATCCTTAGGAATTGGTTCAGGTCAGTCACATGACTGGAGGTGATTTTTGGGCCAGGAGTATTTTGACTGACAGGAGGAAGTGATTGCACCTCATGAATCCATTGTAAAGTGATATTCTGCCGCTGAGGGAATGGGGGGGTGTTAAGGATAGAGACACTGCTGCCT